GTTAAAAAGGATCTACGAGGAGGCTTTCATGACTCAGGATTTATTCCTTTTGACAGGTCCGCATTTCTCTGGTTGGGGATAAACATAAATGAGGCTACGATCAAGAACTGCTCCTTAATTCTTAAAATTATTGCAAAATCTGGTGCTAAAGCAATTGCAGCCCAATAAAAATCCTTAAACTCTCTAGCCAAAGTTGCCCTTGATAGGAAAATAGCTCTTATCTTTTTTTTTCAGATTATATATTTATTTGACAGAGGGAGACACAGTGGGAGAGGGAGAAGCAGGCTTCCCACCGAGCAGGGAGCCCCATGCGGGGTTCCATCCCAGGACTCTGGGATCATGACCTGAGCCGAAGGCAGACACTTAACGACTGAGCCACCCAAGAGCCCTGCTCTTGATTATCTTTTATCTGAGCAAGATGTCTGTCCTTATGGCCCAACACCACCTGCTGTGCATGGGTTAACACTTCTGAGGAAGCTGAAACTCAGTTACGTTAAGATCATAGAACAGGTCACTTGGCTTAAAAAGATAGCTCCTTCCATGGGGTCTTTGACTTTTTAAATTTTGATTAGTTTGGGTCTTGGGGACTATAGCTCTATAGTACACTCCATACACTAGGAATTATCTTGCTTATATTAATCATAGTAATTCCCTGGTGCATTGTATTCTCTCAAAAGTTTTAAATGCATGTTCACAGCTGCTAACCATCTGGCAAATGATCTAAGACTTGAAACATCTGGGGGTGCCTGGCTGGCTCAGTCGGTACAGTGTGTGACTCTTGATCCTGGGGTTGTGAGTTTGAGCCCCACATCAGGCATAGAAATTACTTTAAAAATCTTTTTTAAAATTGAGAGAAGAGATTTCAAATCTAAGGAACAAAGAAAATGACCAACTTAAAAAACATGAACCTGAAGCCATGACCTGTGAATATCCCAGAGGTTAAGCCAAAATGTCATGACCTATGGATATCACACAAAGGAATAACAAAAAGTGCTATAACTTGAGGTTGGTCATTGAGTGGCGCTAAGGCCTTCAATTCAATTCAATTCACATTTGTTAAGCTGAGAGTTTGACCAAAAGGGGGTAATTGTAAAAAACAGAAAACCACAGACCCAAATGGCATTACTTAGGCCGAGTCCTCAAACCAGAGCTTAATACCTAATCTACTCAGTTTCAACTTCCCCCACAAAAGCAGTATTAACTGGTCAATCAGGAATTTTCTGATGGGCACCAGTAAGTGCCACATGGGCCCTCCATCCCCCAAATGAAGAGGAGGTAATTTGCATGATAAGACCCCCTGGCTCATCCCCCTAAGGGAAAGTGACCTTGCCTGGAACAATCCTTTTCTTTTGCTAATAACTTTCTTGCCCTACCCTCTTTCCTATAAAAACCTTCATTTTGTACAGTTCCTGGGAGTGCCCCTCTACTTGCTGGATGGGATGGTTCCTGATTCCAGAATCATTTAATGAAGCCAATTAGATCTTCAAATTTACGTAGCTCAGTTTTGTCTCTTAATATAGTGGAGGCATAGATTGTATAGGCCACTAAAACTCAAGTCTCTTTCAAACCAGAGCAAACATTCCATGTTAATTAAATTTCAGCTATGGAGGGACACCTGGGTGGCACAGTTGGTTAAGCATCCGACCCTTGGTTTGGGCGCAGGTTTTGATCTCAGGGTGAGATCAAGCCCTGAGTCGGGCTCTCTGCTCAGTGTGGAGTCCACTTGGGATTCTCTCTCCCTCTACCCCTTCACCCTTTCCCCACTCACTCACTGTCTCTTTCTAAAAGAAAGAAATCTTAAAAAAATTTTTCTGCTATGTAATGACTTCCAATAAAAGCTGTTTATAGAATATATATACAGCATTATAAAGAATATAAAACGAGATTACTAGAATGCCAAAATTTTTTCCATCTAATAAAAGATAAACTGAACACATTAAATGCTAAAAGTCTCATGGAGAAGGACAACACTTCTACAATCACCTTTGGAAATAAGACAAGCACAAATGGAATTTCAATACTGATTTGACACATGACTGAGTCAAATGAATACCATGGTCTCTGGGGCTGGAAACAAATGTTATGGAAGAGGGGGCTTCAGCAAAGCTTTGAAGGGACTGACAGGGTTTTGATACAGCTGGTGGGGGCAGGGGAGGGGAGAGAAGATGGTTTGTTCAAAGCAAACATGAACAAGGTAAGATTCATAAGACCAGGAGAGATCATTCTGGCTGAAAGAAACAATGTGTTGAGGGGCAACCCAAGGTTCACTTTTACCTATGAAACTGAAAGTTAGGGAGATTTAGAAAACAAAATTGCACATTTTCCTTCAATCCTTTTCCAAACTCTTCCTAATCAACTTCCTCTCTACCATCTCCTAACAGGTTTCTATTTATTTTTAAACATCTTTCATTCTTCTTTTGTATAACTTTTATGGTCAGAAAAAAAATACACTCTTAAAACATTTATTGCTCTATTACATTGTCTTCTGTGAATGTTTTATGTCCTTTGCCTACATTTAGACTGTCAATATTTTATCGGTTTCTAACAGTACTATATACATTAAGATTACAGTCTATTCTGTACACATCCTATCCCCCCCCTTAACCTGTCTTTACCTCCCAAAAAGCTTTCGGGGGGCCCTCTTCAACTCATGCTCTACAATCAAAATATTCTAAATCCTCAACTTCTTAACATCTTCAGATTTTTGCTCTAGCTGAATCCTGAATCCCTCCTGATGGCTTCCCCTGTAGTTTTTTCTACCGTGACTGGGCAAGGAGGTAGGGGAAGTGTATTCCTTGCTCTTCAGGGCAGCTCCCAAGTCTTTCTTCCTGAAAGGAAACTTTGACTCTCGTGCTTTTGGCTTCTATCTCCCATCACCCCTCACTCCTGCACTCATCTACCACAACCCCTCCCTTTCATTTGTCACTGAATCTAGATCCTGGCTCACTGTCACTCTCCAATATTCTTGTCCTAACTCCTGGTGATCTCAATGTACATGGAATTATCTCCTGATTTCTCTGTTCCTTGAACCCCTCTCCTCCAGGGATTTTTGTACTCCCTTCCATGCCCTAGGTCTTTTACTACCAGTAAGTGCAAGCTTTCTGTTATCTCAGTTTTGGTGCCTCGTTCTCTATCACTTCTTTCTGGCTTGCTCCTTCAAACACCCCAACAACAACCCGTGAGGTTTTTAATTCACTGATCCTACCACTTTTCACTCACAGCTTTTGATTTCCTGTCTCCCCCTTACCCAGCCTGAATTCCACAGGGGATAAATACAATGTTGTACTTCATACAATCTCAACTCCCTGGCCTCTCTCTCTCACATCACTGTATTTGCTCCAATTCTTGTCCCTAGTTTTCCTGTCTGCTCCTATTTCACACCATTTCCTCTTCCCTTAAATCCCTAACACCTGCTTCCACACCCTCACACTCCACTGATGACTTCTCTTTAATTAGAAAATTAGAAGCAATCAGGAGAGAATTTCCATAAACACCCACTACTACATCTACCCACTTACTAGTATCTGTAATCATATGCTGTACATTCTCTCCTGTTATTAAATATCCACTCTTATAGTAGCCGCTACCCACATATTGCTACTGAACATTTGAGATGTAACTAGTGCAACTGAGGAATGTAATTCCTAATGTTATTTAATTTTAATTCATTAAATAAACTGAAGCAGTTGTAAATATTAAACAACTTTACTGTTTTGGTGGGACATTTTCTATTTTAATGGTGGAAAATTTGACATCCAAACTGAGATGTGCTGTCAGTAAAATTCAAACGGGATCTTGAAGATCTAGTATGAAAAAAGAATGTAAATTTCTCACGTCATCTTCGTAGATTACATATTGAAATTAATTTGGATATGCTGGCTTCAAATATTTAAAATTAATTTCATGTTTCTTTTTACTTTTTTAACATGGCTACTAGAATATTTTATTTTTTTAAAAGATTTTATTTGTTTGAGAGCTAGTGAGAAAGAAAGCACGAACAGGGGCAGAGGCAAGGGGACAAGCAGACTGCCCTCTGATCAGGGAGCCCGACGTGGAGTTCGATCCCAGCAGCCCGGGATCATGACCCCAGCCAAAGGCAGACGCTTAACCGACTGAGCCACCCAGGTGCCCCTAGAATATGTTAAATTAACACACGCAGTTGGCATTATATTTCTGTTGGACAACACTACCACAGAGGATGAACTGTCCATGTTCTTAGACTAAACAATGGAACATGAGGTCCATCACCTCTTACCTACAAAAAGGTACAGCTCCACAATTATTCCTTGATTTTTCCCACGCTACAAGATCTTTCCCGTTAACATAAAAAGTTTTCTGACACGTGAAAAAACAAGGACACAAAACACCCACTCTTAACCCACCTCTCCTTCCAGCAGCTACCGACCCATTTTTCTGCTCCCCTTGCCTCAAAACATCAAAGCAAAGGTTTGTCTATACTCAGTCTCTCAATTTCTTTCCTCTCGTTCTCTCTCGAACGCTTTTGGCCCCCATCACGCCACTGAAACTGCTATGATGAAGACTCCCAACAACTTCCACGCTGCTAAAACCAACAGCCAATTCTCAGCCCTTTTAATTGGCCTGTCAACTTTGAGCACAGAGCTGACCACTCCCTGGTCCCTGAAATGCTGTCGTCGCCTGCGTCCGGGCCACCACACTCTCGGGGCTTTCCCTCTCCCTCGAGGAACTCCCGTCAAGTCTCCTTTGCTCGGCTCTCCTCGCTTAACATTGGAGTCCCTGGAGCCTCAATCCACGGACCCCCTTCTCTTCTCCATCTGCACTCACTTGTGTATAAATCGGCGGCAATCTGCAGCTTTCAATGCCTGTCAGAGGCTTACGAACATCAAATTTACATTTGCAGGTCAGACCTCCCTTGGGGCGGGTCCGCACTGGGTGCCACAGGTGGCCGAGTAGTAGAGGACCCGTAGGTTTGGGGATTCAGTGGGGAGGACGGGGCGTGGGGCTAAGGGCACGGGCCTGACCTGCCGGACGGTCCGCAGCAGAGAGCCCAGCATGGAGGCCGCCATGTTGTCCGCCGCAAACGCCGAACCGCGGGAATTTTATTGACTGCCGAATGCGGCGACGACGCGGGGGGCGGGGCCCGGGGCGCAGGGGGCGGGACGGAGGGCGGGTCTTTAGCCTACAGCTGGAGAGCTTACTTGCTGGCTTTGCGTTCTCGCGGTATTTCACGGAACATGAGCAAATTACAAGCCCGGGAGTTCGTCTTTGATACTGATGGTGCAGACTGGCGCTCCTCGCTTCTTGCTGCCGTTCCTTCAGCTTGAGATACTGTTAAACTACCTTCGTCCCTACCCACCTACTTTCCTTCCGCTCCCCTTCAGCTCTTCGTCACCAATTTCTCTTCCCCAGAGTCCTTCCCGGTCTCGCTCAACCTGCTCCTCCTCCTCCTGTGTCTTCCATCCAGTTTAGGGTGCTATTTGCCGTAAACCTAGAATTATTGCCAGCTCCTCCTTCTCTGTAATTACCCCTGTGGATTTTCGAATCTTTTCTGTCCACTAGAATGGCCATAATGATCGTATTGATGATTCCTGTTTATATGTCTAGGATTTTTATATACATTAAAACACTTGGGGTTTTGGAAGGGAGAGGAAGGAACATTGTCTTTTAAAAACTGCTTTTTTCAGGGGCGCCTGGCTGACTCAATTGGAAGAACATGCGACTTTTGATCTCCCAGTCATGAGTTTGAGCCCCACGTTTGGTGTAGAGATTACTTAAATATTTTTAAAAACTGCTGTTTTCAGTCTGTAGTACAGGGAACTTTTAGGTCATCTTCATAGCAAATGTCCTTGGTCTGGAATGAACACTTTGAGAGGCCCCTTTCCTTTGGATGTAAGGCTAGTACCAACTACCCACGGTTCTGGTAGAAGAGTATCAAGGAGTATGTATTAGCTTGGCACAGACCTGTATCTTAGATATGTTGATGGGCGAACTGAGGTGATGCCCATGTGCTATTTATAGTATCTTCTGGGAAGGAAGTTGAACGCAGACTCCTTTCTTTAAAGTTCCAAGTTTATTGGAACATATCTAATGGACAGGGGAGGAACTGACTGAGGTCAGCGGCAGCAAAGAACAACATGAGCCCCTGTCATGGTGGAATCAGAAAATTCCCGACCATGTCAGGTAAGCATCTATTCCTAATGTTAGCCCTTGCAATGCTTTTCTCTCCCCGCAATTGAGTCCTCTGTAATCAGCTCACAAAATGAGTGAGCCAGCTTTCTGTATGGTGGCCTTTTGCTTCCTTTCTGTAAAAATAGTTCTGAAAGCATCTTTAAACAGCATTAGTCACTTTAAAAAAATGTGGTAAAATATACACAATATAAAATTTCCCATCTTAATCATTTCTAAGTGTATAGTTACATGGTATTAAGTACATTCACATTATTGTACAACCACCACCACCATCCATCTCTAGAACTTTTTAATCCTCCCAAAACAAAATTCTATATCCATTAAACAGTAGCTCTCTATCTTCCCCCACCCCCATCCCCTGGCAACCACTCTTCTGCTTTTGGTCTTTATGAATTTAACTCCTCAACCTACCTCATGTAAGTGGAAGCATACAGTTGTCTTTTTGTGACGGGCTTCTTTCACTTAACATAATGTCTTCAAGTTTCATCCATGTTGTAGCATGTGTCTGTGCTTAATTACCTTCTATGGATGAATAATGCTCCATTGTATGGATAGACCACATTTGGTTTCTCTACTCCTCTGTTGATGGATATTTGCTTTGCTTCCACATGTTGGATATTGTGAATAATGCCACTCTGAACATGTATGTACAAATATCTTAAACAGCATTTGTATTTTATTAGGCTGTTTTTCACTTTAAGAAGTGATTAAAGCAATTTAATGGCTAGGAAGATAGGCAGCTCTCAGTAAGACTCCAGGGTCTTCTTTAATTAATAGTGTTGGTTTGGTAAAACAGCCTAAGATGTCTCCTCCAAGGCACTCTCCTCCATTAGTGTGTATGGAAGCTTGGCAAGGCTAAAGAAAGCTCATTTTACCTTGAGTTTTCCTAAGAAGTCTGTGATTCTCTGTGGCTATTTGACAGACGGTGGGGAAGGCTGTTGGCCATACTGTCCTGGAATTCTAGGATCAGAAGAACCATCATCATTCACACATTTATTCATCCAGTATATACATATGAAGTGCCTATTATGTACACCTGTTATGTATGTGTATGTGTGTGTAAGGTGGGGTAACAAGAGAATCCCTGAACTTCTGATGCTTATATTCAGCTGGAGATTACAGAGTTAGATAGAGGTGGAGGTAATTACCATTGTCAGGTATATTGCCTTTGCTTTTTCTGTATAGTCTTTCCTTTAGAGGCTAGAAGGTATTTTTTGGATGGATAGATAAAAATTTAATTGTTAAATATTTTGAGATTTGATTGGGAGAAAGTATTCTAGTCACCATGTTGATTCTGAGCCTAATGAAATAAGAACCATTGTATGGGTTATGAAATTGAGGCACAGAGTGGTTAGGTGACTTGCCAAGCTCACAGAGCTAGGCCCCAGACCAAGGCCCACACTCCTAAGCCTCACTCCACACTGTCCTCTGGAGGAGCAGCCACTCAAGGACAAAGGCCTGACTTCTGTTATGGAATCCTTGCTTATAAAACATATCCATTGGTTAATGTCCAGATTTCATGCCATTTCAATCAAAAATTCTAATGGGGAGGAAAAAACTTCCAATGAATTTTTTTTCTTAACAAAATAATTCTAAAATATATGTATAAGAATAACTTGGATGGGAATGGAATTTTTTTTTTTAAGATTTTATTTGTTTATTTGACAGAGAGAGAGACACAGCGAGAGAGGGAACACAGCAGGGGGAGTGGGAGAGGGAGAAGCAGGCTTCCCGCCGAGCAGGCAGTCCGCGGGGCTCGATCCAGGACCCTGGGATCATGACCTGAGCTGAAGGCAGACACTTAACAACTGAGCCACCCAGGCACCCTGGGAATGCAATTTTTGAAAAGGAAAAATAACAAATAGCCTTGCTTTACCTGATATTACAATGCCATATATTATAAAGCCATAGTGATTAAACTAGTGTGGTACTGGAACCAAAATCAGCAGACAGGTAAAGGAACTAAAGCAGGGAGGCCAAAAAGAAATCCCAACATAATTACAATTGCTTATATATTAAAGGAGGTGTAACAGTCATTGAACAAATGGTGGTAGAACAACTAGTTAAGGATTCAGGGGAAAAAAATTGTTTCTTTAAAGATTTTATTATTTTTTTTTAAGTAATCTCTACATCCAGGGTGGGGCTTGAACTCACAAACCCAAGATCAAGAGTCACATGCTCTACTGACTGAGCCAGCCAGGCACCCCAGGAAAGTGATGTTTAATTATATCTTTACCTCTTACCATAGGTAGATTAAGGAGTTAAATATTCACAAAGCTTAAAAAGAGAAACAGAAGAAAATATAGATGAATATCTTTTTATTTATTTTTAAAGATTTTATTTATTTATTTGACAGAGAGAGACACAGCGAGAGGGAACACAACTCGTGGGAGTGGGAGAAGCAGGCCTCCCGCCAAGCAGGGAGCCCGATGCGGGGCTCGATCCCAGGACCCTGGGATCATGACCTGAGCTGAAGGCAGACGCTCAACGACTGAGCCACCCAGGCGCCCCTCCCTATAATTTATGTTTTACCTTTAGACTCACAGAAATGTCGACATTGATTTAACAATATTAATCTGTCCTTTTCTTTTTATGCCTCTATTATTTCACCCAAAATATCCAAAATATGTGTTTCTCCAAGGACACAAAGGAAGGGGTCATGCCCTGGTCCCAGTCAATCTCCTCTGCTAATCCTTGGGGACACGTGCAGTCAGGACCCTGGACAAAGCAGGAGGAAATGAAGAAATCAGGGATGCTTGCTTCATTCATATTTAGTACTAAGTCATTCACTGTCCCTTTGGGCTTTGTTTCTCTGCTCCTCTGTGCCTACCATCAAAGTAGTAGTTCCTTTAGTGTCTAGTCTATAGCTAATAGAGGACTGATCATTTCCTTAACCTTTCTGCTTTGGGGGAGGATTAATTATTCCTTTCATTATTTTGTAACTGGTAAATACCGGGACTCCTTGGCTGCAGCCCCCGGAATCACAGAGGAAGAATATTTGTTTGGTGTGTGCCTATCCCTAGAGACCCTGTCTGGCCCAGGAGTCCAGACTGACTCATGCAGCTGATTCAGCAACTTCCTAGGACCTGAACACCCTCCTTGCTTTACCCCTGCAAAGCTTCTGGACCCTGGTGTTCTCCAGGAGGGACCTTGAGGGCCAGGCTGCCCACGTATGGAAAGCTGGATATGGTTTAACTCAAAGAACCAGAATTCTTGGGCTTTCAGTGGTCTGTGTGTTGGGACAGCTATGAGAGGGGGGAAAAGAAGAGGAAAGTAGGAGTGACGGAAAAGATCATATAGAAAGAAAGGCACAGGGAAGCACACGCATACACACACACACACACACACACACACACAAGTATTTTCAACCCTGGCTCTGAAATGGTGTGTATGGGTGATCTGCCTTCATTAAGCACCATCAGCTGAATAGTAACCCTATTGGTGTACTAGCTTGGCCGTAGAGTGTGGGTGGCCTGAGCACGCACTTGCAGGAAGCAGCTGCTGTGGTCCCCGCCTGGGAGTCTCCTTCTGGAGCTACGTGCTGTGCATTGATTGAACACAAGGTGGCAGTATTACCACGCGGAGCTCACATGCCCGCCAGGCCCTCCTCACCCCTTTCCCACACCCGGGGTCTGATGCAGACTGGAAACAAGGAAAACACACACGCACACGCGCGCGCGCGCGCGCACACACACACACACACACACACGTCCTCCAAATAAGATGATGACGTAATATGTTCAGGTAGGACCTGTGTTTAAAATTTTGTTTAAAATTTTACTTAAAATCAGGGGCGCCTGGGTGGCTCAGTCTGTTAAGCGTTGGACCTCAGCTCAGGTCTTGATCCCAGGGTCCTGGAATTGAACCCCGCATCGGGCTCCCTGCTCCGCGGGAAGCCTGCTTCTCCCTCCCCCACTCCCCCTG